TTTTAATTAACATAAACAGGCTTTCGCGTAAGAGAACGCACGATTTACATCTACTTTGTTTTGATAACTTGGCCACGGCTCTTTGCAAGTTTTGACAACTAGCTCTTTTAAAAATGCGGTAAAAAAACAAAGCAAAAGTAAATGCAATTTTTAATTTAATTGATTCTTTAATTACAATTAAACTGCTACAAAATTTCTTGAGTACTTTATTGCAATTTAATAAAAAACAATCATTAAAAAATATTTAGATTAGAGTTTATGGCAAAATGAGTACAGAAACCATCAAATATTCATTAGAAACTGCTTTATCATGAAAATATAATTTCTAGTTAAAAAAAAATTACTTACATTACTAATACATAAATATATTTTACAAATAGATTTTTAAAAATTCTTAAAAACAAGCCATGGAACAAAACACGTCTGTTTTGTTCCATGGCTTGCATTGAATATTGTTGCTAAAAAAAGCCCCTACATACAAGAAAACAAAATAATTACAATAATAATGAAATAATCGCATCTGCGAACTATTTTTTAACTATTTCAGGATGCGACAAACGTTTTTTTAAACGCTCTTAATTAAAGTTGATATACATATCTCTGTTTATTGACAATTATTGACCTCTTATTTTGTTAAGTAATCTTCTTGCCTTCGAAAAGACTACTTAACAAAAAAAGGGGGGAAAAAAACAAAAAAAAAATGTTTTTTAAAATAAATAAAAAACTACCAATCACTAAATTATTTGGAATTTCTGAAGTAATGCATTTGTTTTGAAAAATCTTAAGCAAACACCAACATTTACACAAGCAAAAGTGAAGAAACATGAAGTTTGTTTTTCTATTTTTTTTTTAGCAAACATGCGCACGTTTGTCAATTAGTTGCGCCCAGTATTCTATTAACTTTTTTATAAAATTTAAAATTTGCACCACAAAATTTTATTAAATTTTATACCACTTTTGAACTGCCTAATTTACTTACGTATTTAAATATTGTGCTGTGTTAAATATATCGATTTCTAAAAAAATAAAATAATCTGAAGGGGGTAGAGACCCTCATAGCCCTCCCTCTCACTATGGAATCACCCTTGTATTAGATTATTTATTCATGCGAGGGAATGATAAAGATTGATAGACCTGTGATAATTTTACATTAACTAAGTTTACATTAAATAATGTTTTAATTTTTTCTGGTTTTTCTTTTGTTTATTTTTGTTATTCTTTAAAGTTTTCTTTTTTAGTTTTTTTTTTTTTTTTTTTTTTTTTAAGATTTTATTCTAATTTCAGTTTATGGATTGTTTATTTCAATTTAAGGTTGCTTTGTTTTATATCTTTTTTAAAAGCGCAAGTTACCAAAATTTGAAAATTTGTAAAGTATTTAGTACTCTCTAATTGCTTGGAGGGGGCATTTGAGCTTGAAAAGGATCTCGCTTCTGTTAGAGCATAGTGCTCTCAGTGGCTGGTAAACTTTTACTCAGAAAAAACTCAATTTTTTTTTTGCAATAATCGAGATCTTCCTATATTAATGAATGGTAATGTACTCAATGACCTTTTGTTTTTTAGAACTCCTCTGATCTTTCTTGAAAACCATCAAATCTATTGCAAAATTAGCATCTGCTATAGTATATCTCTTTATCATGCTCACCCTATCTTACACTGAATTCTATTCTTTATCTTTATAAATCTCAAATTTTTCGTTGTATGGAATCCTATTGCCATATCTCGGGAAGATCTTCCATGATGCCCTTTTTCTTTTAGACAAGGTACAAAAATACATTGTAAACATAGTTGGATCTGCTTCAACCATTGTCATATGGTCGTAATGATGCTTTATTTTTTCTTTTATATAAGTACTATAATGGGCGCTGCTCTTTAAAGTTAGCATTTCTTATGCTATCTACTAAAATTCACTCTTGTGTTACTCGTCATTAAAGTATGTCTAATCAATTTACTGTGACTGTTCCTAAGTGCTCCAAAACATTTTATTCACCTAGCCTTTTTTCTGAAACATCAGTTCTTTGAAATTTGCTACCTTTATCTTGTTTTCCCGATTTATATAATTTGCAATCTTTTAAGTTGCCTGCTAATTGTTATCTTGTTTTATAAACTTCATCTTTTCTCTTTCAGTAACATCCAACTCTAATAGTGGTTGCTTGCAGTCATGTTGGAAGTATTCCACACCAATCATTTATATACTTATACCTTATTTACTTCAATATTTGCTTATTTGCTTATTTGTTTATTTGCTTTTAGAGCAATTTTTGTAGAGCTAATAAGAGATTTAAAAATCATTTGTTTTTCTTTTTACATGCATATTTTTGATAGCTTACTGGATTAGTGCTTTTCAAATGGTGTCACTTTGTGAGAGTTCAAATCTGCCCCTTAACATAATACATTTTAGTTTTTTCAATCTTGTTATATATACTTATAGCAAAAAAAAAATATAGCACAAATGAATTTTAATTGCTAAAGTCAAATTTTTAAGTTTTTGCTAGCTAAAAACTATTTTGTTTTGTAAGGACTACATACATACATCAACTGAGGGTGTGCGAGTGGTTAGGTACTGCATAGATATGAAGGATTTTTAATTTTAAAGAATTCTAAGGACTAATTAAACAGAAAAATAATATTTATTTCCATTATTCTTCTTTTTTTGCTTTTTGTTACTTATTTTATTGTTCATTTTTTAAAGATTTTTTAAAGATTTTTTATAAGTCACCTTTTTTGACATGTAAGTTTTACACAACTAGTCTTCAAAAGTTTTCTGATCTGTTAATAAGGTTTGTCCATTAATAACACAAAGAAACATTCTCAAAATGTGTCGGATGCACAGTTTCTAGATAAACACTAAGATAAACAACAGTTAGAAAGTGCTTGTAAATGGAAAAGCTCAAAATACTTTAAACAGCTTCCTTGTTGTTTATGTACCTTACCTTTTTATTGTGAGTTTAAAACAACAATAAGTAGAATGTGAGAGTTAAAACATCTTTTTCTAACTTTGATCTTATGGTAGAATGACAAAGTAACATTTTCAAAATGTTGTGAATGCACAGTTTCTAGATAAACACTAAGGTAAACCACAGTTAAAAAGTGTTTGTAAATGTAAAAACTCAAAATGTCCAGGTTTTTGTTGTTTCTGTAAGAGATAGTTCTCATCTCCTGGTTGGCTTTCCTAGATCATATTTCAATGAAACTTTTTAGATCATTTTATAAAATAATAATCTTTGATCAAAACTATGAAAATTTGATAATATAATTTTGATAAACATTTTTTGTGATGCTAATTGTTATTTAAAAACTTTAGAAAATTTCATTTTAATGAAAGCTCTTTAAAAAAAATATTGATTATTTTATTTATTAATTAAATATTTGATTAATCAAGTCTATTTTATTCAAATTACTTACTTAAAGTGTTTTTTTAATTTATTTAGAAATACTTTTCAAAACCTTTTGGCAATTGTAGGTTTTAAGAAGGTGGAAAAAGTACACATCAAAAGTATGTTTAGATATGTGGTTGAATGCACATCATATGACTTTGAGGTTTCTTTGAATTATCTACATATATTATTTTATCTTGTTTTTACTCACACATTTGCTTTGGACTTAATATCTCCAAACAACCTCGCTAATTATGGAGTCTTTAATTACATTCTTAAATTTAAACTTTGGATTACAACTTTGTAATTGTAAGCTGTCATTTGTTGTAATGCTGTCTTATAAACCTGAACAAGTGCAATATTTTTGTTGCAGTTCTAAAACAACCTATAGTTGTATGTAAGGTATACTGGAGCATCTCTGCTCAGCTTTTATATTCAAATCTTCTACAAATTGTAATTAAAAAAATCTTGGTGCATTATTTAGAAATGGAAGTAAGAGTTTACTCAATAATAAAATGATTTCATAATCAAGTTTTCAAATTTCCTAACTTGCACTGATGTAAATCATATGAAAGCAGGAGTTTTGATGCTAACATCAATGTTTTTAAAACAGAATCCTAACATCAATGTTTTTAAAACAGAAAGAAAATTAAAAAGAGATAGTTTGACCTTTTTATTTAACTAACAAATAATTGTGAGATCAAATTTCCATAATAAATGTAAAATATTTTCATTTTAAAAATCACCGCATTTTGTTTGATAAGATGGTTTGATAAGTCCTTTTAAGTGAGGTGTTTATATAAACTCTGAGTATCTTTTTTAATTATTTTATTTAATATAATTGCTAAATGCATCCACCATGTAGAAAGACTCATTGAGATACAATGATCTGCCATGAAATTTCAAAGTTTACATTTGCTTATGCTGAAACCTATACACCTCAATCTTGACAATAAAATTGGCTGTTCAGAAAATCGTCATTTTAGATTGCATTTTCTAGGACACAATGTACAGGTTCGCTTATGAATGAATTATTTACAAAGAGAGCTGCAAACTAATTTAAATGAGTTTGAATCAAAACACTTATCAGCCAGCTACTCTTTAAACATCACTGCCCAATCCAATGCATCAAGAGCTACAATAAAAGCATTATAGTCATTTTTACTGTAGAGCAAATTTATTTCGTAAAAATTAGTAATTGGAAAATTGGAAAAAAGGTAAATTGGTCTGAGAAGATAATCCAAATTCCTATAGCAAAAAACAATAATGGTATTTTTTAGCTGTAGAGTCAACATTGGGCCTAAAAATGATATTGATAGAACAATTAGTAGCATCAAAAATAACAAACCTAATTTCAATAACAAACTTAGTGAGGATGCAACCACTAATATTATTAGAAAAGTCACTATAATCTTTCTCATTTTATGTTGACCCTCTTTATAGGTCTATTTAATATCACTGTGATTAAAGCCATTAACAATGAGAATACTGGTGAATATTTGTGAAGATTTTACCATTTTTTTAAGTCACTTAGAGCTTAAATATGACTACAATTTTAAATAATTAAAATCAAGATAAATAACAAAAGTAAATGTACACAAAAAAATCTATAAAAAATTTTCTTACATTTTTGTGCTTGAATGGTAGTAAATAAGAGTAAGCTAAATATTTTTGCATGATTTAGCACTTGAATATTTTTAATGAAGAAACAATTGAATAAAACCTGAAACAAACAGATTAAAATACAAATTTAGAAGTGCAATACAAAGAGTATTATTTATTTTAGAACAAATTTTTCAAAACAAAATTTCAAAAAAGTTCAAAATAAAACCATTTTTTGAATACAAAATGATAAAAAAATTTAAAAATTATTTTTTATATTACTATTTAATTCATAGTAATCCATAATTATATAATCATTTAATGATATGTAATCATAATCATATAATGCATAGTTACAATCATATAATACATAACTATAATTATATAATGATATATAATTATAATCATATACAATAATTATAATCATATAATGCATAGTTATAGTCCTATAATGCATAACTATATAATCATAATCATATAATGCATAATTATAATCGTATAATGCATAATTATATAATCGCATGATATATAATTATAATCATATAATGCATAATTATAATTATATAATGCATAATTATAATTATATAATGCATAATTATAATCATATAATGGTATAGAATCATAATAATAATATAATGCATAATTAGTAGAGGCTTTAAAAATCAATAAAATACTTTAAAAATCAATAAAATGCTAATCAAAACTTCAAAATGTGTTCTATATAAGGAAAAAACACTTGATTTAAGAAGCTTTTGAGCAAAATTTTTATGGGTTGCTTTTAAACATTTTATGTTGTATATAAAATATAAAATTTCTATAAGTTATATTTTGGCATTGGGCTAATCAAAGACTTGAATTATCAGTAAGTAATATTGTTACAGAGACTTAAGGAATTAAATATAAATTTAAATTGCTTTTTGAGGAGCTTTATGACATGTATCATGCTTCCCAAAAAATTGCAGAGAGCTACATTCATGTTCTAAATTATTTGGTGTTGAACTAATAAAACTGGTGGAATTTTTTATACAAGTCATTTAGCATGACATGTATATTTTTATACAAGCCAAGCACTGGTGAGCCATTTTAAAGAAAGGATGATTAATCCTGAATGTTTTTAATGGATCTAGGATTAATGTGTGATGCTCTCCAAGAATTATCAGAGTTAAGTTTAGACCTCCAAAAACACAACATAGGTCTGTATAAGACAATGTAAAAACTAAAAGCACTTCTACAATTATTCAAAAAAAGAGGACAAAATATTAGGGTGATTCACGTTGTAATAGAAAAAAATTATTGTCACAAAAAATATTCTCCTCAAGGTTGTCTGTGTTTATTTATTACCTAGGATCATGTGTACTAAAAATTAGACTAATAGAAGCAATTTTAAATGTGGACATTAACCAAATGCTATTTTACTGCAAACTATACTGCAAGAATATTAATATACTAATTAAATAATAATGAATAGAAATATCAGATAATATAAATTATATATTTCTAAACTAGTAGGCATAACCGACATTTTACAATACATATTATATACTATTATACATAATAATTACTAAACCAGCCAATTTGCCTAATACCATTTAATCCTCTGAAAACTATATTTTGTATGTTTTATTGTTAACATGTTGCTTTCTGTTCAATTTATAAATTAATAATATGGCAACCACTAGATCTTCTGTTGAGGTGTGGCTTGTTGGTAAGCCTACAAAAATTCTGTCAACTGCCAGACTTCCTTCAAGAAGGAATGTTCTTCAAAGGTTGCTCTTCTACCATTTAGAAAAAAAACAATAAGTGAAAAAAAAAGTATTCAGGCAACAATTGAAGCAGTTCTTGTTATATGGAATAGTGGAAAAATACCAACTCAAAGACTACAACAAATACTCAAAGAATTGATAATGTGAAAAGAAAGTTAAAAAAACTTTTTAAAGACTATCTGCTGCTGGAAAAATACAGAGGATCAAAATTGGACAGCTGTCAAGTGAAAGAAAGAATTTTTCAGGCTGACCTTGAAAAACATTTTGACATACCAGCCAAGAATGCATCAGAAGTTATTAAAAAAAGATAAAGCATTCTTACCCCAACAGCAAAAAGCTCCATTAAGTTATAGTATGGCCATAGATTATCCAAGTCATATTTTAAAAATCCAGAAAATTGTTTGGATAAAATTCTGGAAAAATCTGGAATATGTTTTCCCATATTTTCCTTTTACTTTTGCTTCTAGCTGAGTTAAATTAGATTAGATTAAATTTTATTAGTGTGCATGTTGATTAGGTATTTTTAGATTATTTATATAAAGATAATCAACATTACTTGAACTAACAACACTTTTTATGACACGATAGCTAGTACATATAATGGAGATAGGTCTATAATTGTTAGCATCTGAAGTAATTCCTTTTTAAAAATAGGGGAAACCAAAGCTTGAAGCCACTGTTTTGGTAACGAGCTTGACATAAAAATTGATTCGAATGTATACAAAATTGGAATACATATTATATGTGGTGTTTTAAAAGTATATTTGGTATACCGTTGGGTCCAAATGATGTGCTAGGTCTTAGACTTTTTAGTTTTTGATAAACTATCTTTGCTGAAAATCTACGAAATCAATCTTAATATATTCACTAACAAAATTATTTGTTTAGGCAAATTTCTGCTATATACCACAAAAACACTTGAAATCACTGAAGTGTTTGTTAAACACTTCAGCAATTTCAACATTGCTAGTAGTAAAGTTGCTATTGGTTTTTAGAAGATATTTTTTTGGGGGTTGTGTAGATTTTTATTTACATAACTAAAAAACTTATATATCACAAAAATGTATACCTATACTTGCATGTATGGAAAATGTTTTGGATATCTGGAAAACTTAAAGCTGAAAAAAATGTTTGGAATTCCAGAAATATCCAGAAAATGATAATCTTTGTATGGCAGAAATTGATTGGGTTTTAAAAGCTAGGGAAGCACAGAAACAAGTTTGAGAAACTAAAATGGAAATGAGGCATCAAAGCAATAAAGCCGAATTGATGGAAAAACTGAACTTTTTCCTTTTTCATTAGCAGTTTACATTGTGAGTGTAGGTAGCTCTAGTTTTCAAATAATTATGAATATCAAATTCCTTCCACTTCATGCACAAGTGGTTCAAAATAAAAACAAGATAAAAGTTCTATCAGATATGTTGTATCATCTCTTGATTGGGTTAATATTTCTGATCCTGGTGCACTCTTAACAGTTGGAACAGTGGCTCAGGCTCTTGGTCACTCAGAAAAAGATTTATCATTGTCCTACAGCACAATCCATAGAACAAGGCTATAAGTTCATGAAGCGGTATCTACAACTGACAAGGTCAACTTTACTCTTAATGATTTCTTACCTGATATCACTGGTGGTTACAAAAAGTGAATAGAAATGCCATCCTTGTGACTGGTAGTAAGATGAAGAAATTGCCGGGCGTTCCAAAGATTAGTTGAGAGATACAGGTGAGCAACAGGCTGATGCCTGTATAAAAGCTCTTGAAGTTTGGAAATTGAATGAACATGTTCAGGGACTGGTTTTGACTCTAATTCCTCCAACACTGGGATGAACATTAGTGTCCGCATAATAATGTAGCAGAATCTAAACTAAAATTTTATATGTATAGAATGGAGGCACCATGTGTTTGAAGTCACGCTTTCCACCATCTTTCAAAACTGTATTTGGAACCAGTGAAGGACTTCAAGTGAGAGTTTTTAACAGTTTTCAGAAACAATGGTCAGCAATCAACAAAGAGCTGTTCTCTAAAGGGAATGAAGAACTTTTCAACTGTGATTTTCTTATCAAAATTCATGAATAAATATTAGTATATTATTGTGAAGCAATTAAAGGTAAAAAAAACCCAGGGATGAGAACTTAGAACTCTTGAATTTGCAACTACAACATCAGAGTTTAATGGAAAGTTTTATGCTCCAGGTGCAACACAAAATGCACATTGTATGGCCAAAGCTATATATTGTCTAAAATATATTTGTTTCAGCATCAATTTGTTATTACTGTAAGGAAAAAAAAAAGTAATAAAATAACTAAGTCTTTTTGTAGCATTTATATATGAATAGTATTGAAATGAAGCCCAGTTGGCAAAATAAGTACCATTCAATGATGCCATTACATTACTTTTTTAAATTTACTTTTCCTTCACATTACTTTTTTAAATACTAATAACAGTTTAAAATTAACTTGAATGTCATTAACCTTTAGATTTAGATCCCAAAATTTACATTAAAGTTAAATTCATACTCAATCCAACACTGCGGACCTTACTTGTGGAAAATTTTTCCCCAGATTGTTACTATCAAAAGAAATACACTTGAACAGTTCAAATCTGAATCAAAGCGTTTTTTATGATCTACGGACTTAAATTTTCTTTTTCTTTTTTAGTAAAAAAATAAACTAGCACAATTTATTTCTCTTATTTGTTTTAACTTT